AATAAATGTAAGGCAATGATACATTCAAAGGTAAATTTATTGTATTGTTTTTCTTAAACTGACACAGGGGTGGTCCACACAAGTTTGCATTAATTTATGTAAATCACTTTAGGTTTCAATAAAAAAAAAAAACAGTAAAACAAAAACGGAAACACTTTATAATAAAGTTAATTTGTTAACATTACTTTAGTGTATTAACATGAACTAACAATGAGCAATACATTTGCTATTGTATTAATTAATCTTTGTTAATGTTATAGTTAATAAAAATACAGCTGTTCATTGTTTGTTCATTTTAGTTCACAGTGCATTAATGTTAACCAATACAAACTTTGATTTTAATAATGTATTAGTAATGTTGAAATTAATATTAACTAAGATTAAAAAATGCTGTAGAAGTATTGTTAATTCTTAGTTCATGTTAACTAATGTTAACTAATTAACCTTATTGTTAAGTGTTTCCCAAAAACCTTTACAGTACAACAAAATACAATTTTTTATATAAAATCTGAATAAAAATAAATAAATTTGAGACCATGCCCTGACTCTAACACATCCTTAACAAACAGCTTTAACAATTCAATAAATAACAATTACTCACTTCGGAGACCAAACTTGGTATAGAAGTGCAAAAAAGTGGCTACATTCGTTAGCCTAAACAATGAAAAGGTAATGTCTGTGACACACATGTACATTAGAAATGAATACGCTGACACCATCTTAAAGGGCTAGTTCACCCAAAAATTACTCACTCTTATGCCGTTCCAAACCCGTAAGACCTTTGTTAATCTTCACAACACAGATGAAGATCTTTTTTAAGAAATATGAGAGCTTTCTGTATCTCCAAAAACTAACGTAATTGTGACTTTTAAGGCCCAGAAATGTAGTAAAGACACCGTTAAAATAGTTTACAGTCATTCATCCTAATGTTATGAAACAACGAGAAAGTATTTGTGTGTAAAAACCCCTCCAAATAACAACATTATTCAACAATCTCTTCTCTTCAACGTCATTACACTATACGTCAACAGCGTAGGAGAAACAGTGCAGCGCTACTGGGTTCTACATCAGAACGTAGGCTTATTATTGGCCAACGCTGGTCATGTGTGATTCTGGCCTATAATAAGCCTACATTTTGACATAGAACCCAGAAGCGCTGCACTGTTTACACTATCGTCAAAAGTATGTGTAGGAGAATGACATGGAAGCGAAGTGATTGTTGAGAGTAGTTTGTGGCGAACAGAACGAGGCCGAGGGCCGTGAGAGAGTGGCGCTAGGCGCTGGCGTGATTGCTGATGAGCGACACCTGTGAGACGTGATTTCATCAAAAATATCTTTATTTGTGTTCCAAAGATGAACGAAGGTCTTGTGGGTTTGGAACGGCATGAGGGAGAGTAAATACTGACAGAATTATCATTTTTGGGTGAACTAACCCTTAACCATGAAATAATGGGCTGACAATTTTAAACAAGTGGCTTAGTTTCCCTTTTATTTGTCTATCAACTAATCTATTTCCAATGTCATAAACAAATTTAATCTAATGCCAAACATCATTAATCTTGCACATTTCATTACTTAACAAGAGATTTTCCAGAGATTGCAGTTTTGGAGTTTGTTCTGTCCCAAACCAAGTGTTTTTCATGTCTTTTGTGTAATCCAAATGTAATCCAAATTTTAAAGCACAAGACAGACCTAAATAGATGCAAATTGCATGAGGCAGGTTCTGCAGATTATTACAATACCTCTCTCAACAATGATGGCAGTGGGCAAAGGTAGAGAGAGAGAGAGAGAGAGAGAGAGAGAGAGAGAGATTCTTCTTCGTCAATGACAGTCAGCACCCCAACAGATACTTGTGCCCAGGCTTCATCAACATCACAAACCTGAATGAAACCAAACAATAAAAATATTACAACAAGGAAAAGTGAAAAGGCATGATTAATTGTCAGTTATCTGCCCTGCATACATGTGTGTATTGTTCATGCATGATCAGCCAGTTGTTATCCTTTGAACAAATCGATAAGATTTAGTAAATACAAATATTTTTTTATATTATTTTATATAAATATTAATACAAAAAAGCGCTCATGTTGATTGTAAGCAAAACCATAATCAACTCAGAATAATAATAAAAAAATAAGGCTACAGTAAACTCACCCCGTTATTAATTTGCTGCATAAGATCATCAAATTTCTCTCCAATGCTTGAAGACTTGTGACAAAAATGGTGTGTTGCGATCCACAGCACCTTAAAAGTTACTCTGCAGTCGGCAGATCTGTGGTGACTATCCTGTCAAACTCTGCAAACACCTACAACACGGGCACAAAAAAGGCATGAGATAGTGTGGAAATTTTTCAATGCATACAGGCCAATTCTAAATTCTAATTAATTAATTAATTATTGTTTGTTTTCTCATGGTGGAAAAAGGGATATGAATAAGTTCTTACTGGTATCTCTGTAAAAAGAGCTGGCCAATGCTCCATCTGCATCCACAATCTCACATCTTCGCATTGAGAAGGTCTGGTCCATCTTTGATGCAATGAGAGGTTCCACTAGGGTTACATTACTTAACATTACTAATTTTCTCATCTTGTTAAAAGATGGCTAATTTTATCAGTGATAAAGCAGTTGAGTTTGAGTAAAGAAAATCACTTTTACAGTGGTTGCATGACATTCTTAATGTACTCAATTTAAAAATAAAAGTATAACATGTAGTGAATTCATAAATACTGTCAAAAATCATCACAAACTTCATCTCTGCATAAACTGCAGGTTAACGTTACCTTTGACTGTAAATGTGCGCCGTTTCACAAGATTTGTCACCTTAATAATTTATATACCAATGCCAACAGAGGAGAATGCATCTGTGAAAATGCATCGGTTTTAACAATAAATACCTTTTCAGGCATTCCATATTCTTCAAGCTCTGAATATCACAATTATTTGGTACATATTAAGGAGATCAGTAAAGATTAAGGACAGACAGTAAAAAAAAAAAAAACATTTACACAAAAGGCGCATGCTTGATTACTCACCTTCTTCTTCTTCTTCTTATATGATTCCGGCAGTGTAGACGCTGCTGAGCGTATTACTGCCCTCCACGGGTCAAAGTTTGTACTAAATTCTTACATACAATCCTGTGTCATGCAGGAATTGAAGAACTGCTTTGGAGATCAGTTTATGCTCATCACTGTGTCCAAACAAAGATAAAACAGAAAAAGCCTTAACTCCATGTCCTGACAGTTTACTAAAGAGAACATTTCTTTCAACCCTATACTTTCTGCATTCCAGGAAAACATGCCCTACAGTCTCAAGACTCCCACATTCACACAAGCCAGAAACATGCTTCCCTACAATGTGCAAAGAATAATTCAACCCACAGTGCCCCAATCTCAATCTGCACATTTTAAAGGAGCTAAACGCAAGTCTCTGAGTTTTTGCAGAACTACGCCCCCTCTGGCGACAAGCGAAACTGCATGGAGCGAAGTATGTGCCTAAACCGCACACACAAACAAAACGTGTTTTACTCACACCCAATGATTCACAAACAAACTCAGTGTGGTTTGTAAATACAAAACATCACTCACAAACTAATGCATATTGTTCTGCAAATAAAAAACGTACCTATCAAACAAATACAGTATGTTTTACATATACATAGAAACGTATTTCTTCAATGACCAAAATATCCTGCAAGTACAAACTAAAATCTTTGAAAGTACAAAACAAAATTCTACACGTACAAAACAAAATTCTACAAGTAGGGCCTACAAAGCAAAATTCTACAAGTACAAAGCAAAATTCTACAAGTACAAAACAAAATTCTACAAGTACAAAACAGAATTCTACAACTACAAAACAGAATTCTACAAGTACGAAAAACTGTCACGTGACTTTTGGCACTATTTTTCCGCGTCCAGGCAGAATCAGATTTTCTCACAAATACAGTGGAACAACTTCCTCTTCTAGAACAGTAGATGGCGCTAAGATAAGGGATCAATTTGCTCGCCTTTGCCCATGGGAAAATGAGCGGTGAACAGGTGTGTTTCTGTCCAACTTTATCTATAATTAACCTTATTGAGGTTTTGGAAAATGTTTATTATATAGACAGAAATCCACATTAGCACTTAGTAGTAACGTACTCCACTCTAGGATAAGGGAATCTAAGCTGAAAGCTGCCATCATGTTGCTTTTACTTTTTGTAAAAATGTTTCATTTACTGAATGACTCTATTTCTTTCGTTCTCCATAAATTAATGAGAACATTTCATTTAATTGAAAGGGTCCCACTTATTCATTAATTTTGTTGGAATTCAGTCAGCGTAACTGTTAATGTAATAAAATAATGAATGAACAAATCAAACAATATACAGTTGTTTCTTCCCTGTGATGTATTGTCCAAATTATTATTTTGGACAGACAAATGAAACCCTCCTTTCAATTAAATTAAATGGTCTCATTAATGTATGGAGAACGAAAGTAATAGATTCGTTCAGTGAACATAATCACTAATTTAGTCATTTCACACGCGTCTTATGTAGATTATTAGCCTAATATTATTTTTTAAAGCAACATATGACATAGATTTCAGCCTAGATTCCCCTAGAGAGAGTGAAGTGCTAATAGCGGTAATATGGATTTTTGTCAAGAAATAATTAACATTTTGCAAAAGAAAACCTCAATAAGGTTAATTATATAAAGTAATACAGAAACACACCGTTCACCGCTCACTTTCCTCAGCTGTAGTAGGCAGTGTTGGGAAAACGTATTTCGTTACAGAATAAATGCCCCAAAATGTCATTTGTAACGTATTCCATTACATTAGCTACTCAATCTGAGGGATTACATCCGCATTGAATTGCCTTTTAGAAGTGTAAGAATTGTGGCCATCTAATTCTGTTTACTAAACTGGGCTATTCTGGTGGGTGCGGTGATGCGGTGGTGACACGTGTAACATGTAGGGTGGCACTGCCAATAAAGCACCTTAAAGCTGTCACAAAGAACCGGCAAAAGATTATGAATAGGCTATGTAAAATATAGCAAGATGATATTTTAATTGTTTATTAATAAACAACTGTATCTTTGTCAGTGTGTCGGCTGAAAACATGAAGTTGACAATGTTGACTCGCGATCTTCGCCGTGAACGCGCCAGGATTAATAATCTAGCCTACAAGACGCGTGTGAAATGACTAAAGTAGTGATTATGTATACATACACTGAACGAATCTATTACTTTCGTTTCGTTCTTAATAATGAAAACATTTAATTTAATTGAAAGGAGGGTTTCATTTGTCTGTCCAAAATAATAATTTGGACAATACATCACAGGGAAGAAACAACTGTATATTGTTTGATTTGTTCATTCATTATTTTATTACATTAACAGTTACGCTGACTGAATTCCAACAAAATTAATGAATAAGTGGGACCCTTTCAATTAAATGAAATGTTCTCATTAATTTATGGAGAACGAAAGAAATAGAGTCATTCAGTAAATGAAACATTTTTACAAAAAGTAAAAGCAACATGATGGCAGCTTTCAGCTTAGATTCCCTTATCCTAGAGTGGAGTAGCCTACGTTACTACTAAGTGCTAATGTGGATTTCTGTCTATATAATAAACATTTTCCAAAACCTCAATAAGGTTAATTATAGATAAAGTTGGACAGAAACACACCTGTTCACCGCTCATTTTCCCATGGGCAAAGGCGAGCAAATTGATCCCTTATCTTAGCGCCATCTACTGTTCTAGAAGAGGAAGTTGTTCCACTGTATTTGTGAGAAAATCTGATTCTGCCTGGACGCGGAAAAATAGTGCCAAAAGTCACGTGACAGTTTTTCGTACTTGTAGAATTCTGTTTTGTAGTTGTAGAATTCTGTTTTGTACTTGTAGAATTTTGTTTTGTACTTGTAGAATTTTGCTTTGTACTTGTAGAATTTTGCTTTGTAGGCCCTACTTGTAGAATTTTGTTTTGTACGTGTAGAATTTTGTTTTGTACTTTCAAAGATTTTAGTTTGTACTTGCAGGATATTTTGGTCATTGAAGAAATACGTTTCTATGTATATGTAAAACATACTGTATTTGTTTGATAGGTACGTTTTTTATTTGCAGAACAATATGCATTAGTTTGTGAGTGATGTTTTGTATTTACAAACCACACTGAGTTTGTTTGTGAATCATTGGGTGTGAGTAAAACACGTTTTGTTTGTGTGTGAGGTTTAGGCACATACTTCGCTCCATACTATTGGTTTATGCTCCACAGTTGGTGGCAGTAATGTATAAGTTTTGTTGCGATCCATCAGAAAACAAAGAAGAAAACCGCTTTCACATGTCAGTGTGAGGAGATCGAGATGAAGGGGTAAGCTTCTTGTACCGTTTTTCAGTTTTGTAAAAAAGCTTTATAAGTTCTGAAAAAGACCATTTCATAATGGCGTTTACCGTTTACACTGTTTTTAGTCTTGATGTATTAAAAAAATAAGGGTAAAGTGTATCCGTATCCAAATACATTTCTGTAGTTTTTTTAGTAGCACACAAATTACAAAATCTGTAACGTGCATGCCAAGATCTTTTCTGTATTCCATTTCTGCAATTTGCTCTCCAGATTATGGATTCTGAAGACCACTGTGGCAGTGTAATTTTTATACGTTTTAGGACTGCATTGATCAAATGGTAAATGTCTTAAACGTTTTGTAATGGATTTGATATACAACTCCTAACTTAATTGTACAATGCATGCAATTATTTTAAAACTTGTTTCATTGTAGTTATGCTTTTTGCACAATTTCACTGTCCGCTTTTTCATAAGGACAATATAAAATTTGATGAGAACTTCCAGGCAACAGGCCACCTTCAGTCCCATTTATCTTGGGTGGTAGCAAGGGTGTAAGTTGACCAAAATATTATTGTTATAATCACTATGAACAGGAGATCGTAATCAATTGCTGTTACCCATTTAACTTTTTTTTTGTTTCTTCGCATATTATAGTATGCACTATATGTTGTTCTGGGACAGAAGTTTTACTTCACTGAAGTATTTATTTTTTGTAGTTATATGCTTTTTAATATAATTGAAACTTCTACTAATCCATTACTTTATGTACACAGCTAAACAAGACGAACATAAGAAAATGGTGTTGTACCATCTTGCTTGAAAACTTCTCTTTAGAGCATAAGTGTGAATAAATTAGCTGTACTTTTAACACGTGGTGTTTTAAGAAACCCTTAAAGAAATGAAGAAATCTTGTTCACTCTGTAAACTGTTTTGGGAAGTCATGGAAAGGAATGATTTAGTGACTCGCTCATAACACTATTTCAGTAAAAACATATTCTGCAGACCCTTTGATTGAAAAGGAGTAGCAAAGTGTTTCAGTGATGATGAAAATCAGCAGGTGTAAACACCACTTGGTCTATCAAACTCCTTTAAAATATGTTCTTAATACTATTAGGGGTTGGCAAGATATTGAAATGTTGTATTCATTGGTGGGTAAGTTTTTTTGTATTTACAAAAGTCTTTACTGGAATTTGTGATCAATGTA